TCTTATTGATAAATCTCAAGTGGTTTAAATTGATTGACAAATTCTTTTATATACATTAACTTTTATATTTTACAAATTTCTTTCATATATTCAAACCTATAGGAAATTACCTGAAATAAATTGGTAGAAAAAAATAATTTAAAAAAACCTATCAATTACCATTAAATAGAAAAAAGAATGATATCATGAACATTAATATTGATACTAATAAATAGGAGGATAAGAGGGATTATATAGGAATATATATAAATAGATTAAATTAAAATTATCATAATGAGTAGCTTTTTAAAAGCTTCATAAACACAAATTTGATTTTATAAGTGTTTGTAGGTGATTGATAAGTTGAAAACTTAGTCTACACGTTGGCCATGTGATATATTAACGAATTTTTTTTTATAAATTAGACATGTTTTTTATAAATTAGATATGTGTAAAATGATCTATAGAATATTACTATGTATTTCTTTAATTAAATTATATATATATATATATATATATATATATATATATATATATATCTACATATATGGTTTCTAATTTTTTTTAATTCATTTTCTTCACGTTCTTGTTTTGACACCAATTTATCTTCTTTTCTTTAGATCCTATTAATTGATGTCTTTCTACTAGTTCAATTCTTTTAAACCACATTTAGTTAATTAGATTGGTAAATATATGAAAATATTCCAATAAGACATTTAACAAGTCTTCATATTTTTCTAAAAAAGTATGTGATACTAAATACAAAATATAACAAACAAATATCCCAACAAACTCAACAATAATATGAAATATATATTGATATCAATTATTCAAATCTTATTATTAATATAAGTTTTAAATAAAATATAAGTACTTTTTTAATGATGATATTATTCATAAAATGAATCTATTAATAAAAAAATAGTTTTTTCAATTATATGATTAATTAAAATTTATTCTATAAATTTTTGATTTTTTTTCATCAATTAGAATTTATAGAATGAATTTTCTTAGTTGCATTTATATTTTTATCAAACTACAGCTTCAGCAAAGTTTAATGCATTTGATTCTATAAAATATGGCTTAAGAAGAATTTAATAGTATAAAATAAAAGTTAATATATATTTTTTTTAAATCTTATATATTGCTTCTATATTTTTAGTCTCCTCTAATTTGTCTTTACAAGTTAATTGTGTAGATAAAGAATGAACTTAAAAGATTTTTTTAATAAATTTTTGATAATATTTTGTATATAATAAAAAATATATATAATAAATATCATAAATAATTCTTGAATTTGTCTAATCTATAATAATTAGTATTATATTAGAATTTATTTGCAAACCATCATCTGCAATAATCTATCATAAAAATTCTACTTGAATTATCAATAAACATGCATTTTTCTATCTTGACATTTAATCTTATATTTCTAACTTTTTGTAATATAAATCAAATATGTTGTTTTTTGTTTCTGTATATTTTTAAATTAGATAATATTGAATAAAAACCAAAGGATAGTATCTATTATGAGATTTTATTTTTTAAAAATTAATAATTTCTAAAAATACAAAAAAACATAATATTAAAAAAATTACTAAATTAATTTTCAAAACATTACAAATATATAATAAAGAATAATTTTAGATGTCTTCTTAAACATTGAAAAATGTTTTAAAATTTTATAAAGATATTTTTTACTCTCTTTAAAACCTAAAAAAACATCCGAAAAGAATTTAGATCTTACATAAGATTTTAAACCATTCAAATAAAAAAATTAAATCTAAGCTAGGCAGCACATTAATATCCTTTGCTTTGTCTTGACTTAATTGATATAGATTGCAACCTTGAACATTAGTACCTTCCATATTCTTTGAAACACTTTTATAACCCTTGAAATTATTCAAATAATATCATTGTATTAATTACAAGTTTTTATAAACATATATATATATATATATATATATATATATTCTTCTATAATATTCTATAAAATTATAAGATTTTTTTTATAAATTTTGTGCAACAAAATCATAAAAGTGTAAGTATAATAATATTATTTTTGATTTTTTATCTAATATATTTTATTATTGTATGTATATTTTTTGAAAAATAAATAAATAATAATAAATATTTTAATAATAATTTTTATTTTTCTTAGATAATCTAATAAAGAATAAGGCATGGATTAATTTTGATATATATATATATATATATATATATATATAGATATATATATATACATATTTACAAACTTGATAACAAAGAATAAAAGTATAATTATATAAATACAAAAAATTCTTTATTCATCCGTGTGGTCTTATTTTTTGTTGTCTTATTCAAAGATAATATATATATATATATATATATATATATATATATATAGTAAAAATAGAGAATATTTTATAATTTTAGTTCTAGAATTTTTTTAAGTTATAAAATAATCATTTATAAGAAATAGAAATTAAATAAATAATTAATTAAGTAACTCATATTAAATTATAGTCTCACCAACTAAACAAAGTTCAGTTATAAGATAATATTTTAGAAGTAGTAATCCAAGTACTTGATAGAATATATTACATATGTAATCGTGTAAATATATAAAATAAAAATAAAAATAAAAACTAAAGTCCCAAAAATTATTTATATAATAATATTCTTTTATTTTTATTTAAATATGTAAATAAAATTAGATCTTTTAAATATCTAATAGTTTTTTAAGAAAAATGATATAAAATATAAATATAAATATAAAATTTTAAATATATTAAAATTAAAAATTAAAAATTTTATAATTAAAATTAATAAAAAAAAAATACTTTTTTTATTAAAGTCTATTGAGAGGCACTTTGTACATAGAAGACACAATTAGAGGCCACAAATTTAAAATAATTTAGTTGGTTGAAAACAAGAAGTCTTTTTAGTTTAGATTTATGTTTTTTAAAAAACAAGCTCATTTACCTTAAGAAGAAAGATGTGGTGGAGTGTATTTTTGCATGTATAAACCATGAATAGTATTGCCTTTCAAAAAGTTTATTGGACCCATCTCAGAGAGGTGTTTTTTTTTAAAAAAATAAAAAAGCCATGTAAGAAAGTGCTCAAAATAACTATTAACAAATAAAAAATGGTTTTTTATATTTCTCATAGCTATTAAAATAAAGATACAAGTTGACATATTTAGATTTGTAATGATAGAATAATTTGGTCCTTTTCATGGCTCCTTCTTAATATATACTATATCCAAAGGGCAAGTCATTTAAAAAATGATACTTCTTTACCAAACAAAAGACCTTGGTAAGTCTTTGGACCAATGGTGTTTTAAAGTAGGCTTTTGATCCCTGGCCTTTTATATCAGTATTAGTTTACAAAAAAAAAATTACACCTACCTATTTATAAACATACAAAGAATCTTGAGTAAGCTATCCTTGCACAAACTTCAAATAACTATTAAATCAACCTAGTGGCGTATATGTGACATTCATTACTTTATTAAAAATAAATAAAAATACTCTTACACACAATCTAAACATGGCATTTATATCTGAAATATGTTGTGCATATTCCTGGCCAACCGATGTGAAAAAATTAGATGCTATGTTTTGCTCAAGTATAGATATTATGGATCAAAACAAATGTTGAAATTTACACTCCTGCAGGGTCAGTTAAGCAATACATGAATCGGAAGGTGACGTGGAAGGCCAGGGCAAAGGGTGGAGGGGGGTGTGTGGGTGGGCTGTACAGGAGCAAGGAAACTAACGACTCTGGGTATTAAACAACCGCCTCTGGGAAATGGGTATTGGTTGGGGTGTTCTTAATGTGATAAGATTCTTAATGACGGAGCCCCATTCTCTCTCTCTCTCTCTGCCAAGTCTCCTCCAACGGCTCTCCAAACAGTGATTGGCCTCCACTACCTCCCCGATTGGCCATCAATACACAGACCCCCCTCCCCCCTCCCTCACCCGGCCAGGCCCGGTAGGTTAACCTCTAAACTTGCATGGAGTTGGAAGTGAAGGCCCTCTTTTCTTTGTTATACTCCCTCCTTGTGAGCATTTCGTGGAGTCCTTTTTCACATGGAGAGGATTGAAGCGTCCCTCTTTGTCCTCCTAAAGGATCAAATGCACGATGCAATGATAAGGAAGTTTTTGAAATAGCCTTCTTCTTGGAAGAAAAGAAAAGAAAAGAAAAAAAACAAGTATGATCTTATGTAAAAAATGCTTCAATTTTAAAAAATGTATGATGTTATGTGGTTTTACTTCATTTTGGATATTCCTTCGGAGCAACATGAACAGGTTGTTTCATGGGGATTTTAGGGTGGCTTTTGGGGCAAGAATTGATTTACTCAATTGTTTATTGTTGCTTCTCTGTTGGTAGTGTGTGAGTTTGTTATCCTTGGAGTGCGAATTTGTTGGTAATTAAATAATCAATCATACTAGTACTGTTGTTGAGAGCATACCTTTAGAAATCCACTACTACTTTTTTCCATTTATATACATATATACATATATTTATTTATTTATCGTTGGTCCTTATACAACTAAACCAATTTTGACAATTGTAGTTCAACGTAACAGGTTGGCAACAACGGTAGAAAAGTCCAATCAACGCAAGACATTGAATGGTGTCGTTACTCTCACCCACACCCAGAACATGCAAATAAATAAATATACCTTTTTTTCTCCTTCCCCCACCCGTCAAAAACCATCCAACTTATGCATGACAAGTAATGAGGTTGTTGACTGGCACCCCTCTCCAAAACTCACAGCACTAGTGCACAGAGCATTGAAGAGGTTAATGTAATGGAGGAGTGGTTACATCTTCAACTGCCAGTACGCCTTGGAGCAGTGACTGACTGGTGGCAGTCTCGCCTCCCTTGGGCACTGAAGGCACTGGGGCCCCTCTCCAGTCTGTGTCTCCCTCTGCTGCTCATGCGTCGTTGAATGCTCGCATCGATCAACTAATTTTGAAGCTTCGCATCCCAAACGTGTGCTGCTTTCTTTGAGGAATTGTGGCAACAGAATGGCTAGAAATTATCTGACGTGGGTGCCACCGACAACCGGAAGTTTACGGCGAGGGGTAAAGCCGTAGGGTGGAACTCCTGGCTCAGTTATGCGACTCTTCTTTTCGGGGGAAATTCGCCTAGTCACCCGCCAGGATCCCCAGGAAATTCACTCCACTAATGACGCACATCGCGGCATTGAATGAAGTGATCCGAACGATGAACCCGATTTTTAAACCGTAAAGTCAATCACCCCAGCTTCCGACGGCGGCCATTGATAAGCCTCCACCAGTCGGGGTTTGCGGCGGCAGCAACAGCAGAAAGTCCCCGTTTCATGAACTCGTTGCGGTTGTTCTTCCCAGAATCGGCTGCTTCCGAGAGTTGCAAGGGGCGAGGACAAGAGTTATGTAGAGTTGGATTGCACTGGGTTTGTGAACAAGCCGGCTCTGCGATTGTAGGTGAACTTGGAGTTGGAGCGTGACTGATCGGGGTTGTGAGCTTCTGACACCACGGTAGGATCCTTATGGTAGTGGTCGGAGAGTGATCAGGTATAGATAATGTGTTGCAACAGGATGATTGTATCTGTGTAGATAGATCAGCATATTTTTGCAAGGAGAAGATTTACGTACAGGATGAAGGGCTTGGTTTAGGACTTGAAGTTCAGCTTTGTATCAACGTCGAGATGATGTGCAATACTCCGCTCGATCAACATGTCTGTTGAGTCTAAATTTGCCAGATTCGTGTTTTCATTGTCTATGGCTCAAATGTTTTCATTGCCTATGTTTTCGTCGACCATCCGACAATTCATTAAGAGCGACCATGATGCTGTCTCTGTGACACATGCCTGAAAAGCGTACATTGCGAGAGAGAGATGGAGAGGGAGATCAGACACTTGTACGCAGATCTACCATCTTCTGAATTTTGGTTTTATCCCCCAAAGCTTCATCAAGAGTTGTTGACAATTAAGTTGGCTTGTCTAGCAGTGCGATTGTCCATCACTGGCTTTGCCTGGACTACACATAATAGCGTTGAGGAGGGGACTGCGAAGGTGAGGCTTGCAATGACGGGCCTTCCACTCGACGAAGCGAAGAAGCCGCACTCTCGCCACACACGCAGCCAGGTACGCATTCGCTTGTGGAAGTTATAAAGGAATTCAAGTTCCCCTGTTCTTCTACTCTCTTATGTCACGAATGTTGAATTGTAGAGAGAAGTCTGAATTGGCCACCAGTGTCTTCCAATATTAATTACACTAGAATTCTCGCAAGTGTAATGTGGCATCAAAACGTCTAGTCTCGCTCGATTCATCTCAACCTGCAATATTCCCACCTCACGCCGTGCGTTCCTGTCTCTGCAGTCAATGCAGGGACGCGATTCCAAATCTTCGGCGAGCTTGTGGACCACGAATCATTTGTTTTCCCAGGCAGATTCCGCACTCCAAGCTCCTAAACCCTCATCCGACAGTCCTGTCCGCCGAGGTATGCATCTCTAGTCTCCCAATATCTAACTTGCCTCCCCACGTCACAGCTCTCCATGATCAATGTAGCCTGCTTCGGACTGTTTCACATGAGATGCCCAGCGTCTCCCAACGCTGGGGTTCTCAAAGCCCTTCCTAGCTCTTGTGATTGACGTTGTGTAGTCTTTGAACAGGTAGTAGCCGAATGAGGACGATTGATTCTCCTCTTATTTTCAACAGTGGGGAGTCTTTTCACGACGTAATTAGCAGCTCAGGAAGGTGCCGGCCGTTTGGTATATTTACCAGCGGTTTTTCAGACTTACTGTCATGTGTGATGCCTCGCGTCAGTTCGGAATCGACAGGCTGGACCAAAAGCAGGGCGAAAGCACTCCTTGAACTTAGCAAAAGGCAGCAGTCAGCGCTTGTTAATCAACAAGACGCAATTGATATGCTTGAGTTTAAGCTCCGTAAGCTTCAGGCGATTGATGCGAAAGGCATTGCGTCGGAGACTTCCAATAGCTCAGCTGCACATTCCCCACAGTACTGTGCCATTAAGATTATCGACGACACTAGCTCGGAAAGCTCTGGAACGTCGTTGTCGTCTAATTGCAGTTCAATGGATAGCAGCGATGGCTCCATGACTACATTTGCTACAGCTGAGCCTCCTTTGGCGGATCTCTGCCGAGATGCGAAGAAGAGCTTTTCCGAGGACTCGTGGAAAGTAGAGGAAAAGCGTGACAGTTTATACATGCCAGGATTCAAAAACATGACGATGAACGACAGAGTTCCGGTTTTTGAAATGGCATGCACTCGTGCTCGAGTGGCCGTCCGGTACTTCTGCAAAGTCTTCATGATGCAGATGGAGTATTCGGGGTACTCTGTGTGCAGGACACTCGCGTCGATTGATGCGTCAGCAAAATTTATGAAAAGGGAGCATACGTCGTTCGCATTGGAGGCTAACATAAATAAGGTAAGGTCTTGTCTCAATCAGATTTCCTAATTGTCGTTATGCTCTTGCTGTGATCTTCAAAGGCTGTGATCCAAAGTTCGATATTTTCATCGTTGAGCTATGTAACGTTTCGATCACGGGAGCTCTTTTCTGATCACAATAATGTGTCAACCTGTATTTTTTGAAGGCGTTGTATCACTGTTTCGAGAATGACAGCTTCGATGACACCGGGTTAACCCTCATCATCGATCCCAAGGAGAGATGTGCAGCCCGGTTTGAAGAATTTCAGCGATTAAGGTTAGTGGATTCTGTAGATGCAGCGAATACAGCACATGCCGATTTTGAACCGAATTTTCTAGCTTTTTGTGAGCAGAAGATGCGAGAAATCTGGTTTCTGTTTCCTTGGAACATAGTTTTCCGAGACACGGAAGGAAGAAAACAATTCACTGGAGCCTTCCTAGACGCTGCGAAGTGTATATGGCTTCTGCATCGCCTTGCATCGTCTCTTTATCCTGCTGCAACAATCCTTCGAGTTGGCAAAGGCATGGAGATTAACTGCCACTACGTAGAGAGTCTATCATGCTCGGAAACTATATGTACGAAATGCGAGAAAGCCAAGGTTCAGTTTATGGTGGCGCCAGGATTCCAGGTGCATCAAAAAGTTATCAAATGTCAAATCTACGAACACCTGCTATGTGACTGACTAAGGGAGAAATCTTAAGTCGCGGAAGTGCTACTCCTTCCCTATATGTCCACGAACATTGAAAATAAGATGCGGCTAGAACACAGTTCATAACTCAGGGGACAGAACTCAGCTCGACTTCGGCTTGCTAGTCAGACGTCCCTCGCATTCAACCATGGATCATTCGAAATGCGGCAGATTTCCTACCGCCTACATGATAAAAATGCTCTCTATTCCCAGTTGGGCTTCAATGGCTTAGTAAAACCTGTGAAAAGTGATTCTGTGGCAAGTTACGCCCATGAAACATTTTAGGAAACATGGTTGAACTCCAGGTGAAGGCTTTATCATCCACATCTGAGCGGGTATTTGCATTCCAAGGTGCAAGGACAACTTCAACATTAGTCAACTTGGTCGAAATTAGTCGATATATTGCTCATGCGAAGCTTAATGTAATCTTAGTTAACAGCAAGTAGCTGTGGCTGTAGCATTCACCTCCTGCGAGCTCACGTAAGTTAAGTGTACGTCTTCAGATGATGACGACATTGGTTACATAAACTCATATTCTAAGACTTGTTGTATAATGACCTACTCCTGAATGACTATGTATCGTGAAAACTGGCCTGTTATTTAACCTCAAATCTCCACATAGTACCCAATTTTTTGCTTGACTCGTGATTCATGTAGGAAATTATACGCCCCTTAAACTCAAATCCTTGGTCCATAAATTTGCTAGAATTAACCGTTCCTTATCAGCTGCCGTAGCCTGGGTTATATTCAACCACTTAGCCACTACCCGTCTTGCGCGTATTTGTGAGAGTCTGGAGTGTTGAATGAGGAGTTTAACTGTTGAGAGACCAAATCGGAAATGTGATTTTACTTCCAGCTTCCAATTCTGCTCTGATTCGATACAATGCGGGTCTTCCTGATATTTACTAATTTTGCAAATGTATCAAACATTTAACTAGAGGAAGTGCCGAGGTTCAGAATTATACCAAAAAACCAGAAATATTTTGCCTTAAATTGTGTAGATATATGTGTACGATGCACTAGTACTACAGTTTGTTCTTAGATGAAAGTGTTTGTTGATAATTCAAAGTAATCTGTATAAAAAATGGTAACATGGACAGTAAAAGTAAGAAGCTTAATGTGGAACAAATAATCATTGCAATTAAACTCTGAAGGGTTATTCTTCTAAATTAAAGTGTTAATTCAAATAAATAAAAAAATCAAACATTTTAATAATTTAAATTTGATGTCAATTGAACGTTTTAATAATTTTATTTAATTAAATTTGGTAATTGCATTTGAAACCAGTTATATCAAAAAATAGATTGGAAGTAGTTTCATATTAATTTCCATTAACATCTTTACAGATTAAATATTAGCTATGGAAAGAGAAGAATTATAATTTCTATTCAAATTTTAAAGTATTTAAAAAATATATTACAGTAACTTACACTTTTATGCATTCTAAGTTGAATTAGTTATACCTATAAATAATAATTAAATATTACTTATTCCAGCTTATTAATTTAAATATTTATGATTTATATATATTATATCTTTAAAATACTTATAGCATAACTAATTAATAATTAGTATATTAAAATATTATATGAGAAATTTTAAATAAATATTATTTGCATTCAATAAGATTGTCTTGAAAATATTTTAATATTTATTTAAAATCTTTAAAATAAATATTTTAAATAAAATATTTATAAATATATAAAACATTTTAAATAAATATTAAAAGATTGCAATTATTCGCATTCAATAAGATTGTCTTGAAAATATTTTAATATTTTTGACATAAATGATATATGTATAATAAGTATTTCTAATAAAAATAATTATTTTTACTAAAAACCTTGTAAGATAATTTTAAAGAATTATTAATACTACATCTCCAATTGACATTGTTATATCGTAATTAAGACTTGCAACAACTGGAAGGAGGGAGAAACAATTGGGTACAAAAACTTCTCTGTTGTCCAATTGCATTTTAATTGGAGGAACAAGCATGCATACATGAAAGAAAGAAAGACACAATTTCTAAGGCTATGATTTCTAAAAAAATCTCGTTATTTCTACAATCACTTAGTCCATACTAAGTCCAAAAAGTATTTATGTATAAAAGATTTGTTTCTAAAAACCTTTACAAGGGCATTACTCCTAGACCTTGCTTATTGATTAGTAAGCTTGGTTGCTAGCAAGAGAGTTGCCAATCTTCTTAATCTCCTCACACTTGTTGCAAGTCTTAATTATGGTGTGGCAATATCAATTGGAGATGTAATATTAATAATTCTCTAGTTTTAATAAAAAAAAAAATATATATATATATATATATATAATTTAAATAAAATAAAAATTATAAATAATGATAAAATTTAAAAGTACTTTATAAAATAGATTTGATAAAAAAAAAAGTAATTTAAATTCCAATTCTTAGTATTTTAAGAATTTAATTTAAAAAAAATAAATAACTAATTTCAAAATAATCTTTGAACAATCTTTAACATAATTTAATTAAATCTTAATCAAATTCTAATAAAATTCTAAATGTATTCTAGTCAAATCTTAATCTAATCCTAATCTAATCCTAATCAAATCTTAACCAAATACAAATTAAATCCTAATAAAATTCTAAATCTTAAATTCTAATTAATTTCTAAATTCTAAATTCTAATCAAATTCTAAATCCTAAATCCTAGTCAAATCCTTAATCTTAAATTCTAATCCTATAGTAGATTAAAACCTCAATAATTAATAATTCTAATCATTTATTTTAACTCAAAATTTACATACCTCTCAATTATTTAGTTAAAAACAAGCACAAATAATTTGAAGAAGATCAAATTTACCAAATGAGAGATAAATCTCATTAACTGCTTAAGTGTTGGCCGGCCTTATTTTCTTATCTTTGGGACTAATCTCCTAGTGCCAATGTCTATTAATTTCATTGTTAAATTGCTCTCAAAATTTGCACATTTTTAAGAAATCAATTATGCTACTAGTGAATAAATTTTATTTCAATCTAATTAATAGATTACTGAAAATCTTAGAAACCTTTGTTGGTCCTTCAAACTCCAATTTCTAAAATCCAAAGCCACTTGAGTTTTATTAACCTTGAATTCAATTAGACTTTTACTTTCAAAAATACATTTGAATCAACTACCATTACAAACATAAAAAATTTCAATTGTAAATCCACTAAAAATCTTATGAAATGCTCAAGAGTATAAACCCTTTTTACTTCTTAAAGATTAAATTCATCCAAAAATAACCATGACTTTGTAAAACTCTTATAAAGTCATTATAAATCCAAATCACTCAAAATCAATGCCTAAAGAACCTTTCTTTGATTTGTTCTTGAATCTTGCTCTTCAATCAACCACAAAAAAATTTATTTGCCTTAGATGCCTATTTTTGTGTCATGGAGTTTGATTTTGACCATGATTCAGAACTCGTCCTTTTTATGTATCAATCTAAGGTTTTTCTAAAAACAATTTGCCAAAAGCTATTCTTTACTATTACCTAAAGATTCTTATAGTATTATTTTTGTTAATTTACTTTAATATACAATGGCTCTACAAAGTAAGTAGAAGTCTTTTTTTACAAAAAGGCAATATTAGCTCTTATTAATTTTACTACTTCTTTCACTATAATCTATAATTTTAAGATAATTTGCTATAGTATTTTTAATTATGCTCTTTTATAATATGATTTTTTTTTTCTTTTATTTAATAGCCATATTATAACATAATATCATTTACTTGCTTTTTAAATTAGAAAAATTATTAAAATCCAAGCTCATTATATGCTCGCAAAATTTTACTTCAATTCAACCAAAAAATTACTTAAGATCATAGAAACTCTTACTAAACCTAAAAATCAAATATTCAAGACCTTAATCCAATCAAATTCTAATATCTCTTTTTTTTAACCATTTAATTAATATTAAATTTACAAAACACTTTTATGACAAGCTTATTAACAAATCTACAAATTTTCACCTATCTATTTGCTACAATACTCACAAATTTCTCAAATATGTATACTTCTTTTTATTTCTTAAAAATCAAAAATCATTGAAGACATCTCTAACTTTGAAAAGCTCTCACAAACTTAAAAATTTATCCAAATTTTTTAAAACCAATGCTAAAACAAAACTCTTGATATTTCTTTTCTAAACTTATTCTTTAATCAGCAAAAGAATCCCAAAATCACCATAAGTGTGTGATTTTGTGCCTTGAGATTTAATTTCAATCTTGATTCACAACTAGTATTTTTTGGGTATTAAATCCTTATTTTTTAAGATTGTTTTTACTACAAACTACTCTTAACTTCATCTTAAAGATGTCTATGTAGTTTATTTTTGTAATCTACTTTATTTTTCTTTATTTATAGCAGTAAAAAGAAAATAATAAAAAAAATATATATATATACAAAAAGTGGTATTAACACTAAATGTTTTTAATACCTTCTTATCTTTTATCTTTGTTTCTCTACTATATTTTTTAATTAGGCTTTTCTATAGTAAAACTTTTTCTTTTTTTCTTTTTTTCTTTTTTCTTTCACCATATAGTTGTGTTACAACACAACAACAATAAATGGGTGGATTATATTGATTATATTGTTCTACTAATAAAGAGGATTTTTACCTAGCTTCTATGTACAAACACCCATCAAGAGGTTGCATTCACTTCCTTGCAAGTCTTATCTTGCAAGATATATATATATATATATATATATATATTTCTTTTTAAAAGTTAATTTTCTTATTAAACCATTTAACTGAAGTTGCAAGTAGAAATTTCATTGGTGACAACATTCATTTGAAACTCATATATATAAATATTAAATACAACTCACAACATGTTAATGACACCCTAGAACATTACTTTCATTATGTATATATTAAAAAATTATTCATCAAAGGTTTTAATTTAATATTTTTAAGAAGCACAAGCTTGGTTTATTCATGTATTTCATGGCAAGAGCTAAATGGAATGTTATGTGCAATTGACTCCCAATTCACCATGGTTTTAATCAATCAACAAATACTTCAATCACCTGAAAAAGTCATACAAAGTTTAATTTGTTGATGAAAATGGCATTATTGATAAAAGCATTTCTAATTGTGAACTGGTGTGGAAGTGAAGCCTGTCTGTTACAGATATCAATGCAGTATTGATGGGCTTAAACTTACTGTGTGCTCAAGTTGCACCAAAAATTGCAAGGCTTTTCTTCATTTCTGCAAAATCGTAAATTATTTTCAAATAATGTGTTCCACGGTATTAAATTAGTGTTAATGTTCGGCAGATAATAGTATGGGCAACGGACCACCAATGATGGCAAAACCCAGGCCTTTGAAACCTACATTGTATTTCATCTAACACAATTTTAGTGGCTAAAACAATGGATATTCATAAATCATTCTGTGACTACACAAAACTTTTTGCTCTGCCTTGGAAAGCAAAAGAGAAGATCCAGAAGTTCCAAATTGCTACATAATCTAAATGCAGGTGGCTAAGTGAGCAAGCCTCTGTTCAATGAGTTTGGTTAGAGGACTAATCTAAGGCACGCCTCTTAATTTTTCAGTTTCATTTAGCTTGCTAAATAGGTTTCTCCTTGTGTGTGTGTGTGTGCATATATATATATATATATATATGTATATATATTCATATAAATATATAATAAAATTTTACTTTTTTTGTGATAAAACTGAATTTAAAAAATAAAAGTTATAAAAAAATTTAGTAACAAGTTCATATGTAGCTTTATCTTAACTACCACACACACACAAAAAAAAAAAAAAAAAAAAAAAAAAAAACTGCAAATTATTTTAAAATCAAAGCAATAGTCTCAATCATTTATCAAATAAATAAAAGACAATTATTATAAATCCACAAAAAAAATTGATAGTAAAAAAATAAATACTTACTAATACAAGATTTAATGGCCTTTTAATAATTACTGGCATGTAGAATATTTGCATAATTCACATATATATATATATATATATATATATATATATTGTTTTTTATTTTGTTAAAGATGAGACAAATGTTGCAAGCAACATATTGTTTCCTCATGTCATAGTTTTTTTTTTTTTTTTTTTTTTTTTTTTGGATCCAGATCTTTTCTACAATTTTGTATCAATCAACAATTAAGATTTCAAAATACAAAAACTATTTAAGGCATATTACACAATAGTCATGAAATACTATTAAAATATTTTAAATTGTACTGTAAAAAAGAAAAAAGAAAAAATCAAACATAGACTCATATATCTTTACACATATATCTACCTACAAAATTTTAAAAACTGCATTTTTTTTTCGCATATAAACAGCACATACAAGAGTATAAATCGTTTTTAAATTTTTGGTAGTAACAGCAATATTTTGTATTTATATTACAATCTTAACATAATTTGATGTCAATTTTAGCTATCTTGCTTGCTGTAAAAGTTATAAATTAAAGAGACTTATTAATATCTAATAATACATAATATAATGTCACTTACAACATAAAAAATGTAACCAAGGATCCCAAAAATATATGAATTATAGAATAAAAAAAATTTATTTTAAAAATAATAATAATTTAAATTTAATGATTCTTTCATATATCATAATAATTATTAAAAGATATTTTAATGGAAAAAAAATCATATCAAGATTATAAATACATATATACACACATATACCTATATATGTATATATGTATATGTATATGTATGTATAAACATAAAAGATATATAACCAAATATACATTTATTATGCAAATAAAATTTTAGCACTAAAATCTATATAGTTTTTAATAAAAATATTATTAAATTATTTTTAAAATTACATTTGTATGATAGATAAGAGACTTTTCTTACAATTTAAATAATAAAATATTGTCCAAAGGTTGCAATGATTCTACAAGTAAATTTTTCTAAAGTAGATAAATTATATTTCTATAAATAATAAGTACAAAAAAATATAATTTTTAATTTATATAATATCATATACATTATTAATACTTCTAATTTTTATAGTATTATTAGTACACAATTATTTTATAATATTATAAATAAAGATATCTATTTATTATAATTATATGCTGTTTAATAATTTTATTTATAGTGCAATACAAAATTTCAAGTATAATTAATCTTGTGCCTAGTAAGAGGACTTGTTGCTCTTCTTGGTTTGTCTCCATTTTAACTTATTGAATAATAAGCAAAAAAATGTATGTACACATTAATAAATAAAATTATATATCTATATATATATATATATATATATTAGAGGATGCTAAATAGAACCAAGCTTTTACTAAATTGGCTTGTCTATCCTAACCATCTTGAAGAAGAAAAAAACAAAAAAATAAAAAAACTCCAAATTCATCTTTCTACTATTGGATTTGAAATGAATGAAAATCAACCATATTTATCATGATTAATATATTCTTTATCATGTGTTGGTTGGTTTAGTTAAAATCTAAGTCTATTTAACATACTCCTCTCTATCTATATATATAGGAAAATATTAAATAAATCTTATCTTTTATTAAAGTGACTCACTCATCATTACAATCATGAAAAAACAATGATCTTTAGATTCATTTCTCTACTACTAGATCCGCAACCAATGAAAATCAACCACGTTCATGATAATTATTTAATCTTCATTGTTGTTACAATCATAGCTACCTCCATGTATTGCAATCCTTCTTGATGAAATCCTAATTATTTGTTTAAAAGTGAGCAAGAGACTCATCTTGGATCAGTCTTACTGCCTTGCTCCTACTTCATAGCTTAGGTCCTCTCAAATCTATTGTTTGTTACAAGCTTATCTTTATCATGAGCAATGCTACTGCTTTGGTGGTATCCTTGCTAGCAATAGAATGTAAGCTTGCTAACAATGCTACATTTAAGAGCATGTGCTTTGCATCCATGGTGACCAAGTCTGCAACTATTAAAGTTAACATTATTAAGCATGCTAGTAATTCTGATGAAATCAATTATTATAGCTTTGATGCTTTGCTTAAATGTTGTTGGTATATATCAAATATTAATAAATTGCATTGTAGTTTGTGTTACTTATACAATGGGTTTGTCTTGTCTTTATACCCCATCTATGTTGTGCAAGGTGATTCCTTGTAGGACATGTGAGATGGATAAAGGCACTTGCTCTAATCATAGTGATGTTGTTGTCAAGTGATTTATATCTCATGAAGTAGTTGAAAGAATAACAAATTTGAAAGATCTCCATCAAAGGTTGATCATGGGGAAAAATTGCCTATATTTATTTTATTTAGTTGTAGCTCTTTATACCTCCACGAAACCTCTCACCTTGCTCCACGAAACTCTTGTTTAAGTGCCATGATTTGACTTGCGAATGATATCATCTAGTTGTAATACTATGCCTTCAATGCATACTCGTCACTATTGGGAAGTAGCTGTTGGGAACCATTGCTGCCAGTCATTTTCATGATTGTATAAATTGTATTTATGAGAAACCATGATTTTGTTAATCTAAATGTGAATGATGGTTTTAATAATGAAAAAAATCTATACAATCCATGTGCCAATTCGTGACTATGGGTAGGTCAATTTTTGTAAAGTCTAGGTATGTTTAACATTCCTCAATCAATCAATATATATAACCACACACAAGTAAAGCGGTCGCAATTCACACAAAGAATTGGTGTTAAAAGAACGTTAAAAAGACTGGACGTCGATGATGAATGACCAACGAACCCGGAGATGGATGAAAATGTCGATCTCCGCAACAGCATCACCACCAGATGGACAGACAGCTTTCCCTGGCGATGGGGAAACTGGGAGCGAGCGAGAGATATTGGAAACGCCGCCGTGCATTTTTCATCTTCTGCGCACAACCAACAACCCCATCTGGCAAAATCGCGGCGTCGTGCGCGTAATTGCACAATTGCAGATGGCCAGGGATTGGATGCATCCATCATCAACTGCGTTACGGGGGTTGGAAGCGATTTGTCGGCCCAGATCCCTGGATCTTCCGATTTGGTGCCAGGCCCGAATCGCAGCACAGCAGCAGAGCAGAAGGCGGGAGGGAGGGAGGGAGGGAGGAATCGAGGGAGAATCGCAGCGCCACTGCACTGAATTGCCCTGCACTGCATAGCACGGCACAGCACGGAGTACGGCTTGTGCTCATGCGGAAGCACGGCCTCCAGCCCCCTCTCAAGTTCTGGTGCCAGGATTCATTGTTCTCGTAGATTTTTATGATTATTATTATTATTATTATTATTTCTTATTCTTATTTTATTTGATGATGTGAGTTCATTGTCAGTCGCTGCAGTGTAGTGTGGTGTGTGTCTTTGATGTGAAGCAGAAGCCTACGATGACATTGGCTTCCTCGAGGATTGCTTCGCACGTCACGATATTTGTGTCGCTTCTGGCGGTGGAAGACAACGGATGGAGAATCAGTCCTCAGGGTGTCCAGTGCTAGTGATGTGTTGTGGATTTTACATAAGTGGCGGAGATACTGTAGTGTTTATGACTTTTGTGAGTGAGATTGAAAATGTCATAATTTCATTTAGAAGATCGTTAGTAGAATGATACAAAACTTTCATTATCTGATGTACGCAACTTTGAAGTTTCTCTTTTTTTAACTCTTTTATTTTTTATTTCATAAAATTAATTTAATGCCTCAAGTATGTATGTGTGTGTACGTGTGTGAGTGTGTATAAATATATATATATATATATATATGTATATGTATTGTTGCATCAGAAATATCTTGTTCATGTATCCAGAAAGAGAACTGATTTAGGCCACTTCAATTGTAATATAATTCGATAGGAAAATCTCTTTTCATGATCTAGAACTGATTTGGATTAATGTGCTTAAATTCAGAGGAATCTGACATCCAATGGATGTATAATATTGAGATTCCTTTTATTTTGAAACTCCAATTACTAAAATAGAGTAAAATCCTACCACAACCTAGTCATTCACACAAAAATCTGGGTTCTATGAAAGCCCGACAATACAAGTGAGCTATCCATTGCTTAATCCAACAAAGTTTGTATCTCCTATAGATGATCTTGGAATTAGCACCAACTGGAAGTTGGGGGTTAGCTCCCCACAGTGCATGACTTTCTCAACCCACACCCACACCCACACATCAGAGCAGTTTACATCCACCAATCTAACACAATTGGAACTTATCAACTCTCTTGTCCCAAGGCACAAAGCATGAATTGCTGCTGGACCCACTTCATTGCTTGAAGCAAGTTGACACCAACCAGTTGAAAGGGAGAATAAGCCAACCACCCCTTTTTCTGGAACCCCCAATTTGAGGGGCTGTGAAACTTCTGCACTGTGCCCATCATCTCCATGTCTTTGTGCAACTGACCTAACTGCTCAATGCTGGAGTAGTGTGTCAACAAGCATCAACCAGACATTTGTCATGGAAAGACAATCATGTCAGGCAACCCTCCCCCACTTTTATCAAGCCCTAGAGGTATGTCACATGATACACAGTGGATGTGATGCTAGGACTAGGTTAGAGCAAGAAGTTAGAAAAGTATGTTGGTGTCCCCAGTTGGACCACATCAAATGGTCCAGATCTACTTTGGTCTTGGACAATTCTGACAAAAAAATTATCCTTGGCATCCCATGCCTGAGATGTATGGGGCCAGAAGGTTCTTTTTGTCTGGATTCAGTTATCTGCCTGAGTACATCAACTATCTGGTCTTACTGTTGACCTCTGGGCTCTGAAATACTTGAAGCTGTACATTTCCCAGATTTTCCTATGGCCCCTGCAGTCCCCCTTAGCCAATGTTAAAAAAAGATTTGCTACTAGTCACTTTTTCACCAACCAATGTGAAGACTCAATGCAGGCAATCAAATCCTGTAAGTAGCCAATGAAAATGTTCCCTAATGATCTGAATGACAATGATGATGAGTACTAGTCACTATAGAAGAAAATGACCACTAAGGAAGGGCAGGACTTAGATTTGTTGATAAACTGGGACAGAGTCCACCGATGGAAGAGGCCTTCAATGCAACCCTACACATCCTGACAAATGGTGTGAGGAAAGTAATATCTTCAGCTCTTGAGAAGAGACAGACTCTGCAACCCATGCTCTTACATCTATCAACATTCACTAGGTTCAGCTTACCAAATCTGGAACATGAGGTGTAGTTGAAAACTCAGGTTTGACGTCCTAAATGAGATAAAAATGTGAAAACTTGCTTTGGATTGTACAAACCGCTTGAGTACCAAGTCCTTTTCCAGCCCACAACCTGTGTGAATGCCCAGTTTCCAACACACCCTACTCCACAGCATGTTCCAACACAACATGTTCACAATGCAACCCCGCATGGAAACCATACGATCAGAAAGAGGACGACAAGGATTGCAGATGGGAGTTGGGAAGGAAGGAGTTACAAAATGTGGAAAAGAGCTCCTTATTACATCCAGGCCATAAGGCAGGGAACTTTCACAAAACTTCCACAGATGAAGAACCCAACAGCCTACTGAAGCACTGAACACCGAAGTGATCTTGTTTCTGTGCATGTGGGAGAGGTGGAGTGGCTCTAAGAATTTTAGACCAGCCCTCGTTCAGCAACATCCCAACAGTGGCAAATATAATTTTACAGAATGGCCCTATCCTGAGAAGAAAGAAGAGATTCAACCTTCTCAGCCGCAACTGCAGCATTGTACTAAACGATATCCTCCGCCTTTGAAATGTCCTGTAGCCAGAGAATGGGTAAAGAAAGACTTCTAATCTGACGAGGATCTTTGATTCTAGCAGGCAAATATCAGTCTACGCCCCTTTTGCCTGGCACTTCTCTTTCTCAAGCATCCTTATTCCCCAAAATTTGGAAAAAGGAACGCCTCTTTTGTTAGTCCCCTCAATCTGGATGATCGATCCTTTTTCGGCCTGTACCTGCACACTATTTTTTAATGGCATTTGCTATACACTCAGCTGACAAGCAGAGCTAACCACTTCGCGTGTAATCAAAGAAGAGTGGCTGAAACCAGGTATATTGGCATGATGTGTCCATGAACACCTTTAATTCCTGGTATGTCATACCGCTATCAGCAAATGAGGACTACTAGTAAGATTAAGATAAACCGCCTGCTAGCCCTGAAATTCTGTTCCTCTGCAAAATCAACTACCCGCATCGCCCACCGCCGTGCTACCGTCCTGTTCACTCAATAAATTGTTCGATTCCACTACAAGTTCTGATCCTGATCCTGACCCTGCTTTCTGTGTTTCCTCGGAGGAGTTTGTTTTTACTCCTTCCCCGATGTTGATTTCTGCTACTCCAGTGGTTAATCTATCGACGGATCCAATCTGCGAACGATTCTCATCAGAATCATCATTGTCAAACATTTGAGGAGTCAAAGCATGTGAACCTTCAACAGGCTGAGCTGCAATGGTCTCTTCAGGATTATCAGCTGCTAAACGTTCTACAATCTGACCATGATTTGGCAGAGTGGAAACTTCCTTAATGGAAGCAGACTCAAATTCATTGCCAACAGTCCGTCCCCCTCCCTGCAATTGAAACTCCACCTTAGTAGGAATTCGGTATGCAGAACCACATGGCAGAAAAAGAGTACAGCTGCAGGCAAAATCAGGCATACAAGCGTCCCTCTAAACAGTTAAGTCCTGATGATGTCTAATTGCAGCTTCCAGAAAAAGATGACTCTGGCACCTTCTGAAGCATTAAAACAAATATGCGGGATTAGGCGAATATAAAATATGACAGGCCAAACCTGACGATGCAGTTCCCGCTGCTTCTGGGCCTGCTGCCTGGCTCTTTTCTCCGACAAGGCTCGCTGCCGGTTTTCATAAAATTGGAAATCATCCAGGATCGACGTTTTGGAAGCGAAGTTTTTAAATATATTTAGCATTCCAAATCCTTGTTCAAACTTGACCTGGATATCACAGAATTAACATATCACTAACTCCATTAGTATGAAGGAAATGGGCTATTATATTATGCTTAAAAGACTGAAAACCATGTGAACGAAGTCGAGGGATACAAATATTTAAGCGCCAAAAAATGAGCCGGATGTTTTACCTCCTGAGTGTCCCTGCTGTTCGTTACAGGCTTGTTATCATTATTTTCCAAAATAATATGGCGAAACTGGCAATTGGGAATGTCTTTAATTATGTGCCATACTACAGGAAATCGACCATTCCACTTATCCTGCTGCCAGAAGTCCACGCTCTTTGAAAAATCAACAGGACCTGTCATCTGTGCCACACCACAAAACTGTCCACTAGCATTTACCTGAAAAATGAGACAGGATGTCAGAAGGATCTTCCAATATCAGCATTCAACCAAAAGAGAATTGATCAAGGAGAAGACAAACGAAAATAGATCACCATACAAGCTACTTGTATCCTTACAAAACCTAACCAGGTACGAGATATCGACCAAGTTTACGGCCTTACCGAAAAGAACAGAAATACTGGAAAGCTCTTCGTATCCCCATTACTTTTGGCCAAAGCCTCCAGGTATGCAGCATCTAACCTTTTATTACCAACCGGAGTGCTAGCCCATACGTTGTACTTAATACTCTTATGAACATCGTCTTCACTGTAAGATTTTATCACAAAAAACTTGGCGTGGTCATAGTTGATGATGAACTCTGGTTTATTGTATTGTTCTCTGTTTACGAAGGCATTAAGAGCATCGCTGTTTCCTGATGAGATCACACCTTGACCCCTGGTATGTCTTAAAACACCTGGGATGGCCCGCTGATTCCTGGTTCTGATAGTTCGGGGTCCTCTGTTTTGCTCGTTCAAAGGATCAAGAGAACCGTTACTATTACCAATAGGTCCGCCACCTCGACATCTCTGTTTCCCCTTGTCGATGCCAATCCAGCCTCCACGCCCATTTGGCCTGGGGTCCACGAATGTATTCCCCAGCTGACGAGCTCTCACAGGACCATTGTGCCCGTTCACAACTCCGGAAACAGGAGGATAGCCCCTGGCTAGGGCCCCAGGACCAAGATTGAAAGGTCCCAATCCCGATGGATTTCTCGATTGCTGAGGTGATTGGATATGTATCTAAAATCAAGCCACCTGTAAGTGTTAATACCTTCGTGCCAAAAGAAGATCAAAGACCATAATTTTATCCAAATCTCCATTTCGAAAATTTTCAACTTTCTTTTGAAATCTGCATCTAAGTCACGAACCAAGTGACAAGCAGTTCTCAAACACAAATCGAGAACGGCTATCTAAAACACACAAGATGGCTCCCATTCAGCTGTGTATTTCCGTCGGGAGCATTACTTGAGAGAGTTCTTGCCTGCAACGGAGTAATTGGTCTCAATGATTGTGCAGGAAGGCCTGGCGCTGACAACTGCTGAGAAGCCATAGAGTGCATGCCTGTTGGGATTCCTCGTCTCTGCAGACCTTCGGGTATTTTGGAAACATCCACCCATGAGGGTGCAGCAGCGCTAAGTCCATCATATCGTACATCCTGGGAACCTGGATTGTGCATTGCCAAAGGTAAGACACCTCTAGCGTACGGTCCATGTGGAGGAATGAGTGCCATGGCTGGGTAACCCGGCCTGGGGCCGCCATTAGAAAGCGCAATCTTCCCATCGACTCCAGGAGGAGCAGGCTCGCCATTCCCTGTCGTTGCTCTCTCACCTCCAGTTATCGCAGTAGGTGATCCCACATGGTACTGTGTACCTGGAGACACTGGTTGTGGATACAAGTGGCTAGGATACTGGAATGCCTGGGGACCGTACAGCTGACCATCAGCACCTATGGTCGGTACTGGCGCCCCAGGAGTGTATGGAGTGTAAGAAGGATTCGATGCATAGCCGTAGCCAGTGGCATGCACATATACAGATCCATTATCACTATAAACACCCTGCAGAGAACAGAAAAATATAGAGTCAGTGTTATCGTACTAAGTTCCCGTAAGAGTGGTAAATAAGTAAAGGAGCAACGCTTCATTCAGTGTGCAATATGTCTATTAACTGGAATCAGTCTGGATACAAATAGTCCCGACTGCATGCAGCGTCCAGAATTCAAGGATTCTAAATAAAAAACCTTATTACACAAGATGACACACCTATGAAAAAAATAAGATGAATATACTAGCAATAACTTACTGGGGATGGAATCTCTACTCCGTCGACGACGTATCTCGAGTAATCATCCCATTCCCCTGCAACCGAAGGTTCAAATCCTGCAAAACAAGTTCCGAAATATGAGGTTAGCTTCTTTGACTAGATGACTTGATTGATGACGAAAGCACAATCATACATTCCAGTGAGCACTAGGCTCTCAAATAAAACACAAAACCCAGGCAGCTAAAATCTAAACTATGAAACACAAATCTCGAATCAAACGCAACAAAGCTGGAGCGTCACCCAGTGATCATCCTGCCATTTTTCTAGAAGTGAAACACGCTAAGAGCTAGACAATGTCAACCCCGACCTCCATGAACATAATCGTAGACATAACCGTGGGGAGGATAGCCATTCATGCCACCCAGATAGTAAATAGATCCTCCTTCAGCAGACCCATCATGTACTCCATTTGTACTCGCTGCATCGCCAGTTCCAACTGATGCAGAGGCATCTTCACTGGCATCAGAGGAATCTTCATCATTGGTTTGAGGTACCTATATTAACATGGCAGTAGGAAGTCTAAAAGTTACGATGTCTGCTCGTGGTCTCTGCTGATCAGGACCTCAATTAGGCTATCACAACTGCATGAAAATGAAGAAGACTTTCGCATGAAACACAACAATCTGCAAATAACGTACTACAATACTAGATACGTCCGTTATTCACAACCACATACACGTCTACTATCCAATTCTAACCTATGTAAGCAAGACTGACGAGATGTGTTACAATTACTACAACGTCACCTACCAGAACCTCCCGAAACATACGTTATTCTAGTGAAAGTTTTAAGAAGACATAAATCTAGACAGTTCAAGACAAATAAGCTAAGAATGGAGGATGCACCTCTGAACTGTTCCTAAAAAAGTCCAAATCTCCTGCACTACCACCATCAGCACCCAAGGCAGGTGTATCCTGCAAATAATAGGATGTTTCCGCATTTGTGAATATATTTGCTAAAACTCACAATAATTAGTAGCCCCATCCACGATAAGTATGACATGTAGTCCTGTCTAACCTGAGGTAAAAGTTCTGGCGGAGCCGCGTTCGGCCCAGACACAGGGACGACTGCATGAGCTGGAACAGCGGAAGCTATGCTTGGAGCTCCAGCAGAATTTTCTAGTAATGTGCGGGACATAGAAGGCGCAAGTTCGGTTGTCTCTGGAATATCCTGCACACAGGACAGCGTTGTGAAAATAAAACCTGTGTAGGGACAGCCGGTAATCTATCGAACTTCTCCAACCATAGATCAAGGCATTACATTCAAAAGTCTGATGATCATGCATGAAACCTCGGCATTACTGCGATCGCTTACAGAAGATAAACATTGCAAAGCTTGCTCTAAATTGTTGGAGGCCGCACGTAAGGCACGCAGAACACTGTCTCGATCCCAACTTCCTCCACCGATGTCTAAAATTTGCTGCACCGCAGTTTCCGAGGTGCTCCCAGCAGACAGATGTGGAACAGCTTGTATATGTGCAGCTCTGGAACAGATAATGAATTTTAAACTATGAAAACTAAAAGGACCAACAATTCTCATTTACAAAGAAGAGAACTAGTTCATCCCATTAATCTTCACTAAATTTCTTTGACCCATGTTGAGAAACGATGTGCAAACGGGATGATGCAGTAGCCTGTGGCTATAAACTCGTCTTACCCGGAAGGTACTATTGCGACGGATGCGGTAAGAGGTGTAAATGTTTGCGCAGGTGTTGAAGATGAGACATCAGTGACGACTCCCTGCTGACGATTCGAAACATTTCGTAAGTAATGAAAGAGCAGGGTGCAGCCGCCCACGCCAACACGTCAATACCTCCCAAAAAGCAGTTCGACACATATTTTAACTGGCATCGGCAAGCTCACCATTCCAACATCACTCACTTGTCTCAATTTGAGGTCTCCTTAAGCACAAGAGACGAAAGAGAGCATTAACTATACCTGGTTTGGTTCAGGGGAAGATGTTGGGGTAGCACCAGCTCCAGCTTTACCCTGTCAGCGAGTGTGCAGTTAGAAAACTCGTACATTTTTTCCTTTAATAATCTTAGATTGGGTCTAAGAGGAAAAAAGAACCATGAACTTCAACTACTCTAAAATCCTTTCCTGAGCTAACTCTTCTCAGATATATCTCTCCTAATGATTTGACATCTTCAAGAAAGGGTCTAACATCTCCGCATGCATGGTTAAAAAGGAAATAAACTAATTCACTTCGATTCATTTAATCCCATTCGCTCAAGTTTATATCCAAACCCTATAAACTACCTTTGATAACGTGAAAACAAGGGACCCGTTCTCCAAGACCTTATTTTCCTCCATTGTGGTTTCGCCTTTCAAGACATTGCCCTGATACATAAGCAGCTGCTGTGCAAAAGAGTATGATTCTTATCCTTGAAAAATTTCTATCCGCGTCTTCACAATTGTAACCTGTGTTACAAGGAACAAGATCCAAAATCGCAATAGATTAGCCTGTGACTGAAATTTATCGCGGTACAGTTCCTTCACAGAGTGAACATTACGTAACCATCAGTCAAAGACCACTCCGGCGATCACCAACACGTCATATCAGTGAAATGCTTCAATCCGAAACACAAACAATCCCCCAGAATAACAACAAAGACGTGACATGATCGTAGAGTTACCGCAAAAAATCCCGCCACGCGCGGCAACAACGGCATATATCCAAATCGTGCAATCAAGTGTCAAACATGATCAGTTTCATTCCTAAAACCTATCACTCTTAACGGGAAGATGAGCATCCCTTGGATAAAACAGTAGGCCACCAAACCTAAAATCGGTAGTAATCTGCACAAGAAACAAATGCAGATAATAATCTGCCTCTTAACACAATCGCAGATTGACAGAAATGCTCTCAGTGCACTCTAACCGTCCTTAAAGCATGATAGCTACCGAAAACGTACAATCGGCACGTCACAATCAACACCCGCTTCACACCAGCTCCAAATGTTTCCGAACCTTCAATCGTCCGTAAAATCTCGCTTGTATCATGGTGACTAGCACCACTAACCCCTGCCCATGCTGCAACCGATCGCTACCTTGCAACGAACACTCTCGACAATAAGAGAAGCTGTGCAGTCATTACCGTCTCTGAGGGAGTGACGTTAAAATGGTTTCCTTTCAAAGTCTTCAAAATTATCTTCATCCTGCCTACGTAATCTACCACTTCAGGAAGAAAAAGCAGAATAGAAGCTGAAGCCGCAAATTGAGAATCCGAAAAGCAAAAATTCAGCAATAATCATGCAACAACTCGGTGCTAGGTCCTTCTCTCCTCCGGTATCGTTCTGTGAAAGCACTAACCAACCATGGTAACCTTAACCTAACCACACTGGAGCTCCAAACCTTAACCTAACCACACAGTAAAGAAGTTAAAGAAGTCCAGGCTCATTGTCTCGCCAAATCAAAGACAATACCGCATTGTCGTACAACGTGTTCATCAAACACACACACCAGACATGCTATCATTTTGTTTCCCGAGAAGTAGCACCCTACAGATTTTATCTTTAACGCGAATGACGCCGACTCCGCAGTAGCACGCAGAAAGCAGGGCGATCGCCAACAACGATAACTTTCTACCCAAGCCTTTCCGCTGCACGTTATTTATTTTCAGCGGGCACCGCGACGGACGCCATTTCTAACAAACTCCCCAACCTCACGGCAGAGGCACCGCCACCGCCGCCGTGCACGAAGCCACCACCATCAGTAACCAACGCAGACTCCCCGCTCTTCCACCAATTCGCGAACTCTCAAACTCACAGCCATTATCAGCTTAAATATATATACTTTAAATCACAACACGTCGTCCCGAATTTGGACGTCCTAAACACACGACCAGCGTCTGTTCCACTCCGTAATTCTACACCACCGCAGCTACTAAAACACTGATCTGAAGCGCTGTCAAAACTTCAAAAAACTATCCCTCTCATTCCAATTCCTCCCTCACACACACTAACTTACCCCAACGGACTTGAAGAGCACCGCTGCTTTCACCGACTTCTTTCAACTCCAGCTACACAAAATCACCGCCCGCACAGGTCCCCTAACACGACAAACACCATCACTCTCCCACTCGTATGCTTGTTCCTACCTATATTTGCAATCACGCTCTTTTCGAGCGTGCAAACGAGAGACTCGACGTCTCTCGCTACACAGTGCCTCGACGAGACGTGCCTGCCTCACTTGCTGACTGATCAGTACTAGCTCCGTGTATGCGGTAGGAGAAGCGGGTCCGCCACGGGACGCCAACTCCAGCATGACATTACACAATGGCCAACAATAGGCTGCTCCAGACACAAGTCTTCTTTCTGCTGCGTCCCAGGCTCAACACGCATACACACACACGGGGAGGGAGGGGAGTGTATTGCCACAGTCGGCTCTGGCGAGTCCCTTTCTCGAGTCGCTCCACCCCGCGCAGCTCCTCCGCTGTCCCCCCCCCCCCCCCCAAACCCTCTTCCTCTGGGCGGGTCCGCTTACTACTTCACGGGGCCCACCCATTCGCGGGCCCGCCGGTTCGTTCGTATTTGACCAAGTACCCGTCCTGGACCCGTCTTCTCCACTATTCTCTACACTCGTAGCTCGCGCTTTCCATCCTTCCCGGGGGGGGAGCACACTTGGCCCCTCCGTATGGTCCTTCCGGAGGCTTCCACGGCCACTCGTATTCTTTCCCGCGAATCATATGTATTCTACTTCGTCTCTCTGTGTACACATTGAATGATGTATATACATATATACACTAGGTCTCTCTCTGTGTACACATTGAATGATGGCTCTTCTCCACCATCTGGTACATGCTAAAGATCAACAAAAATGAGCACAGGCCCTGAGAGTATGTTTTGGATTTAGGGCAAAACTGTATCATCCCCCCCCCACAAACCTCCTTTCCACTTTTACCCAAAAGTGAACATGGAAACAGGTCCTGAATATGTTATGCCCTTGACTGGTGTTGAAGTTTCTAATAATTAGACCTAATTTTAGTACTCATCTTTGCTGTATTCAGATAATGGGTATACACACACACACTGGTGTATATCTATGAGAAGCTCTGTGCCTTGTATTAAGTGCAGTGAAGCTTCCTTGTGGAGGGGGGGCAGACCAGCAGCACCATACCATCATAATGGGGAAAGCCCTAGTTTGAATTGTCACTTCCAATGACACAGGCCCCCTGTGTGCTTTGAGCTTCAATGGAGTTGAAGTTATGATACCAATTGAGTGCATTGACCAGCCCCATTCTGCAAGGAACAGGAATGCCATGCCCCCTTCCACTGTGGCTTCCAAGTAAAAATTGGACAATCCAATCCCCATTCCACTGATCAGCTGCAGTGTCACTCACTTAACCTTCAAACTTGAATGACAATGTCACAGTGAGACCCCAGTTTCTATTCATTTATTCAACAGCATGCCTTCAAAAAATAAACCAAAGGAGGAAGCATTGTTACACTGACAGGTGGATCAGAAGGTAGACCCAGATGGTTCATCATGGAAGCAATATCCCATTTTATGATATAAAAAAGGAAAAAACATGTGTAATAAGTTATAATCCACACTAAGAGAGTGAAATCCACGACGGAAGAACCTGGAAGTCACGGAGTCATCGTGACGTCACAGCCCCGTGGGACCCAGGGCCCAAAATATCATTCGTTCGTTCGAGCTAGTGGATGAATGAACGTTCGCCCCCTCTGAATTCGTGATGACTGATGGGCACAGTTAACCGCAATAACCACTTGGGCATGGACAAAACATTAATAGGCGGGCAGCGGGCAGGGCAGCATCTTTTTTAACTGCTCGTAGAATATTGGGGGAGTCCAATTTTGGTGTTAAGAGGCCATTGGGTGCGAAATTGGGGGGCCCTTGTCCTGCGTGGTTCAAAACCAGGTGCCGAATTAGCCACCGAGGATCTATTCTAGACATGAGAGGCCCCCAAATTTGGCCTCCGAGGGGATTCTTCATGACAGGAGTATTTAGAAACGACGTGGAAATCAAACTCAGGGCCAAATTGGAACATCCCACCCAGAGTTTGGGCATGTCTCTCTCTCTCTCTCTCTCTCTCTCTTGCTCTCTCGCCATTCCTATGTAAAGAATGCTGGTCACAAGTATCATCTCATACACTAATAATGGAGCGAAACCCAAATAAATGTAACTGTGCGCACCTCTCAGGAAGTATTCCCCATTCTAATTCTATTAGTGGATCGGAGGGTCTTTTATAGAGATTGAGGGATGATTGAGGTGCCACGAATTCGGGGGTCCACATCCTGCTTCAGCGAACAATAAGTTATTCTATCCATGTATGCGTGATTTAATAGGGGTATTGGTTCACATAACCATTGTTTAGGTTGAGACCACATTCTTCTAGTAGTATCTTTATGTTCCGGGTCAAGTGATGCTCAATGCATGCTAACTCTGGTGTCATATTAAAGAATGATTATGTTTGTGTGTTACTGGAGGCGGATGCTTTGGAAAGGATGGAGAAAAGTCTGTCGAGATTAGGATGGGTTGCATTCGTTAACTAACTAAACTTTACTTAGATAACTTCCTTGAAGTTACTTAGGGTTTGATTAGTGGGGGGGGGGGGTGGTAGTGGTGGTGTTCGAGCTGGGCTGAGAGCATTGTATTCCATTCCCCATTCCCCAGTACATGAGCCTCACACACTTGGGGGCTCCTCCTTCAATTGATTATTAATGAAATGGATGGATGAGAACATGGATGGATGAAAGGAAGGAGAGAGGAGTACAACAACAAGGGAGAGGACAGTGCAGGGCTTCCCTCGTTTTTTCTTTTCTGCTTCTGCTTCTGCTTCTTCTTCAAGTGTGTCCACAACACTGTTTTTCGAACTTCTCAACCTCCAAATCAAATCTAGCATTGCCCTCTCTTCCATGCCACATCAGCCCCACAAACAAACAAACAAACAAACTTAGTCACAAGCAAAAGGTGAAAAAGGCAGAAAAGAAAAATCTCTTCAGGGAAAGGGATGATTTGTACACACACTTTGTAATGGATGGAGACCTCTATTCAAGCAGAAAAAAACACATATAAATATATATATATATATATATATAGATACATTCTCTATTGAATACGGATTAACAACAATAACCACTAAGTTGAAAGTGCCTCATGGTATAAACGTTAACTTATGAACTATCTAAATGTGGATTTTGAATATTTTAAGTTTGTCGGAATTTTGGTTATGAAATTGTACATATTTTTATTTTTTGAGATTAAAGTAATTGATTCTCTTTAACAAAAGATCTGTATGCATCTCTCCTTCACAAAATATTTATAAACTGTTGCAGAAGGTTTTGAATATTTAGAATGTTTTGTTTTGTTTTGTTTTTGTTTTTGTTTGTTTTTTTTTTTTTTCCAAATTTTGCTTTAGAAAATATTTTTCATTTTTCCCACCTTTGTGTTATTGCCAATTTCAGATGCATACAAATAAGCATCTCACACTGTCTGCAACAATGATTCATGTAATTTTTTTAAATGTTTTTTATTTTTATTTCAAACACATTTTCAAAGGTTGTTACAATGATACAAGTGCTATACTCTATAATTTGACGCTGTCATCTTAATACAACATAAAAATAAAATAAAGTAGCAAGGAATCAGTAATTATTGAAGCATAAATTGAAACAAAACCAAAATGCTCCTTTCCTTTTCACAGCAATTTTAAAAATACTTCAATGCAACATTTCTATTTTGCAATTAACTTTAAACCCTTTCAAAATGCAATGAAAATCTTTCCAATAACAAGATATAATTAATATTGTGTTTTCTAATATTCAATAAAACATAAAATTCAAATGAAGAAAAATGTCTATAAATATTATGTTTAATCATAAATGTTTTGATGGAACTTAGTGTCAACAGTTTCTTCTATTTTGGAGTTGTTAAAAGGCCATTCTTGTGATTATATCATTATACAGTATGTAGTACAAATGTAGTTTTAATGATTTCATTCATTCAAATTCAATTAACATGTGTACATTTATTTTGTTGGACCTTGTGATAGCTTCTTGATAAGTTGCTATATGTATAAACTAGTTGGTGGTCAATATGATGACTATAGTTTAATATTCTTTCATGCAAAATCAGACTTGATAAAAACTAGTGAGATATTATGTAGCTGTATACACTTTGTGAACAAATATGTGTATATAAGTAAACAAATTAATTAACTGTATCTGTAGAAACATGTAATCATAAATGTAATTTATCTAGAAGTATATGATGAACTTTATTTTACTGGATTTTAATAAAGTCCTACATAACCCACCCAACATTAAATTAATTAGCTCTTTTAAACCAACTAAATTAGATACAACAATCATAAAGATGCATAAAACAGATATGCTACTTAATATTGTAGACACT